CCCTACTAAGCCTAGAACATAACTATTTGAGGCATAGTTAGCAACGTGGTGCCAGCCACTGATTGTGCTTTTTGCTTGATTTTACATCTGGGGAGTTCCAGTATTCCCCATCAGCTTTAAGAGGGGGCATGGCGCTAGTTGTCAAATTGACAGTCTCGACCTGGGCTCTGAAAGCAACTGTAAAACATTGGGAAAATTAAAATGAATGCCAAATGCCATACCAATACCAGGACCGTACTACTGCTACAAACTGGACATTTGTGGTCCATGCAGTGACTCCAAGTAACAGCACAGGTAAGATAACTGATACACATGAGCGCACGGACTTCATTACTCTAAATAGCAGGTGACTGTGATAAGGAAATACACCAGCTGTCCTCTTATCTCTTCTTATGAGCTCTGTACTTTGAGTTCTTTATAAAATATCCCATACTTGTTCTTTTCAGCATTAACAGAATGACCAACTCTGCCATCTGTTAAAATATAAATAGGATATTCCTTGCAGGAAGGATGGAGTAAATCATCTACAGCTGCCCCTATAGTAAAAGGTACCGATCACAAAAGGGTTATTTTGTGAAGTTAATTAAATATTTAGCCTACATGAGGCATTTAAGAATAAACATGATCGTAGAGTCATAGAATCATAGAATGGTTTGGGTTGGAAGGGACCTTAAAGAGCATCTAGTTCCAAACCCCTAATATGTTTTCTAGTTTTCTTCTTCTTCAGAGTACCTCATTTGTTTGGGAGTTTCTTGCCCAATATTCATAGCCGTTGTGGCAAAAGTGACTATCGATCTATAGGTGGAGAGAACAGAGTCGATACAGCAATTTTGGTACTCTGCAAATCTAACAGAGATCTGTGAATTACCTTGACCTGTCTGACTAGAGTATCAGCTTCAAAAGTCCAGTGATTGCACTTCAGTGTCATCAGCAACTAATTCAGCACTGATTGTTTTATCTAATATTATCAGGGAATGGGTAAGAGCAAAACACTGTGGACTGGCTTTTGGGATTTTCTGGAGGTAGTGGAAAAACCTTGTATTTTTCTCAGTTTACCTGCACTTGGGGGTTAAACACGGGATTTTAGGTCTGCAGGTCTTCATCTCCTATCAGGAATGCTGTATCAGTTTTAAGAGTTAATTAAATATATTACAAAATGTAGGAACTGCCAATAAAATAAAGCTGTATTTGGTTTTGCAAGCCCTTAAATACATTAAAGTAAGAAGGCCAATGCCTTAAGCAGTTCCATTATCAATTCTACTGTTCTGTATCTCTAAAATTTATTTCTGCTTTTTCTGTTTATTTCATTTCTAGGATTTCTTTTTCCTGGCAGAAAGATTATATGGGAAGTGGAGAAATCAGTGACTGATTTAACTGACAGTTTTCAGCTTATATGAAAGTTTCATTTTTTACAGATTTCCTGCAGAGGGGCCAAGTAATGCTCCGCTTCCAGCATAGGCACTTCAAGGTCGTATTTCTGTCTTTTCACCACAGGTCAGATCACATCACCAGGAAAAACTAATTTCAAAGCGTTTTCCATCACAGGCACTCCCAACTAATGAAACAAAGCAGCCAAGCACTAAAAACAAACAACTTTTTCTTTAACCCATCAACCATACGCCAGTGTTGCAGAACTCTCCCGAAGCTCTGGCAGTAATGTTTGCTAGTCAGGTGGCAAATGCACTCCTGTGGCTTAGACCTCCATAATCATTTCTCTCTTCTCCAGGACGTTTACTTCAAGCACTGGTAACAGCCATCTGTGTCTTCTTTGAATCTTTTAGCATGTCCAAGTTAACATTTTTCTACATGTTGATTCGAGCACTTTAAACCCTCACTTTGTTCTCTGTTGTAGGTCATGGGTTATATGGGACTTTTGAAATGTTGTCCTCCTGGAGAAAAACTAGAGAAGACCAACACGTTAAAGAGAGGACTGCAGCCGTATTTGCAGACTCCATGCTCTCGTTTTCCCTCACCACTGCCATGTACCTGGTCACTTTTGGAATAGGTGCCAGTCCCTTCACTAACATTGAAGCAGCCAGGATTTTCTGCTGCAACTCCTGTATTGCAATTTTTTTCAACTACCTCTATGTACTCTCCTTTTATGGTTCCAGCCTGGTGTTTACTGGCTACATAGAAAACAACTACCAGCATAGTATCTTCTGCAGAAAGGTACCAAAGCCGGAGGTATTGCAAGAGAAGCCTGCATGGTATAGGTTTCTTCTGACAGCCAAATTCAGCGAGGATACGGCAGATTCAGAGGAGACGAACACTTATGAGAGTCATCTTTTGGTGTGGTTCCTGAAACGCTACTATTGTGACTGGATAACAAACACTTACGTCAAGCCTTTTGTAGTTCTCTTTTACCTTGTTTATATTTCCTTTGCCTTAATGGGCTACCTGCAGGTCAGTGAAGGGTCAGACCTGAGCAACATCGTAGCGACCGCGACACGGACCATTGAGTATACGACTGCCCAGCAGAAGTACTTCAGTAACTACAGCCCGGTGATTGGGTTCTACATCTACGAGTCGATCGAGTACTGGAACACCAGTGTCCAGGAGGATGTGCTGGAGTATACCAAGGGCTTTGTGAGGATATCTTGGTTTGAAAGCTACTTAAATTACCTTAGGAAGCTCAACATATCTACCGGATTGCCCAAGAAGAACTTCACTGATATGTTGAGGAACTCCTTCCTGAAGACCCCTCAGTTTGCCCATTTTTCAGAGGATATCATCTTTTCCAAGAAATACAACAACGAAGTTGATGTCGTGGCCTCCAGGATGTTCTTGGTGGCCAAGACAATGGAAACCAAGAGGGAAGAACTTTATGACCTCCTGGAGACCCTGAGGAAGCTCTCTCTCACCTCCAAGGTGAAATTCATCGTTTTCAATCCATCATTTGTGTACATGGATCGTTATGCCTCTTCAGTGGGAGCCCCCTTACAAAACTCCTGCATTAGTGCTCTATTTCTGCTCTTCTTCTCTGCATTCCTGGTGGCAGACTCTCTGATCAATGTCTGGCTCACTCTAACTGTTGCCTCGGTTGAATTTGGAGTTATAGGTTTTATGACCTTGTGGAAAGTGGAACTTGATTGTATTTCTGTGTTGTGCTTAATTTACGGAATTAATTATACAATTGACAACTGTGCTCCACTGTTATCAACCTTTGTCCTGGGCAAAGAGTTCACAAGAACTAAATGGGTGAAAAACGCCCTGGAAGTGCATGGGGTAGCTATTTTGCAGAGCTACCTCTGCTACATTGTTGGTCTGATTCCTCTTGCAGCTGTGCCTTCAAATCTGACCCGTACACTGTTCAGGTGCTTGTTTTTAATAGCATTAGTCACCTTCTTTCACTGCTTTGCCATTTTACCTGTGATACTGACTTTCCTGCCACCATCGAAGAAGAAGAGGAAAGAGAAGAAGAATCCTGAAAACCGTGAGGAAATAGAGTGTGTTGAAATGGTGGATATGGATAGCACCCGAGTGGTTGACCAAATTACAACAGTCTAACTTGTTTGTTTGTTGCTTTTTTACACTAGGACCTACTGAGGAAAAAAAAAAAAAAAGAAAGAAAGAAACCATTACTGACTAAATATCTGGGGAGAGGAAGGGGTTTGGAGGTTTTCTCTCCCCAGTCTAGGCTAAATCCAGGAATACTCAAAATTATGGGAGAAATTAAAAGTAAATTTTTAAAAAGAGCTGGGGGATTGTACCTTGCCCAGCTCCTATAACAGGTATTATGGGAGAATTTGCACACGCATGCAAAGAGGGGTTGAATTTTGGACATGTGAAGTAAGATCTAATGAGAGAAGGTGGTCTCCTAAGCAGCTGTCTGCTGCGCCTGTACTGGAGATGCGGCAGTTAACTGTGGCAAAACCCAGTCAGATTGAAAGGTCAACTGTCAAGGCTGAAGTAGCACTAAATGTTCGCTGAATGTAAAGGCTTTACAAACTTTCTACACAGCAATAAGTCAGTGAGTCAGCTTTTATAGGTCTTAGCCATCTCATTTAGTTTTTCTTTTCTCCCCTAATCTAAACATTTATGCAAGACCGTATAACAGATAGCAAACTGTACTGGGAAAGAAGGCAGTACACAGCAACCAAATGTTTTCCAAACCCTTTTATGTTATCAATCACTTTTTTTTTTTCCCTAAAAACAAAATATCGTTATTTTACAAGGCATCCCTTTTAACATTTTTAATCATGGTTTTCTAGCTATTTCTTTTTCTTATAAAAAAAAAGAAACAAAAAATCCCAGTGACTCTGTCACTCTAGAAAATATATCATTCTATTTTATACGTCTCGCTACTAGTTAAACATGTAATCTGCTTTACCAACTGTAATTTTGTTAGCACTCTACTAACACATGTGAGTGGATCTAGCAGCAGACAGAAGATGGTGTACTGAATATTTCAGCACCAAAATCCATGACACAAACCTCAAATACTAAAATGTCACCAAGAAAGTGAATGTTAGGGCTCTTTTAGTGAGAGCCTATTTCAGGCCATTCACTGGTAATGCACACTAAGAGGATTAGGGGCTAGTTTTACATAATGTATAACTTAATCCCTCGGTCTTCCTGGAGTACCTGTAAAGTGATAGACCTTGCAGCAATGGGCTTTGTGAGACAGCAGACCATGAGAGTTGTGTGGAACAAAGTGAAGGTTGGGACTGAGATTTAGCAGCAGCGAGTTTAACAATGCTGTCAAAAAGGGCCCATACCTATGGGGCCTATTGGAAACATCATATCTGAGGGAAGGAAAAAAAAAAAGGCAACTTAAAAATATTGTATTCCTGAGTCTTTTTGGAGCCATGAGTTCTAAATCAGTAATTCTGTCAGCATCTGTGATGTGGAGTAATACAGATAAAGCAGCAGCTCTTTCCTCCTCCTACACCCACCCCCTCCCACCCCCCCTTAAGAGCGACAGGCTCATTACTGTAGGGTTGAATCCCATGCAGCTCAATCCCGGTGGGAATACATAAGCCAGTTCTGTAGGTTCTGCTGAGAGTATTCCAACTGCACATTGCCTGTGAAAGCCCAGCTGCAGGAAGCTGATGGGTGTATCGTGAGGTCTCATGAATATGAAAGATTTTGCTTTGTGGTGTGAGGTGAAGGTATTGCAACTGGACTTGTTTTTACAGCTCGTCCAGCAGGTCAGAGTACTTTCAAAGTTTTCAGCAGCTGGGACAGTGTTTGCCTCAATGGTGGTGTCTGGAGGGTGAAGGGGCATTGCAGGAGCCCTAGGGCTTGGACTGTTGGGAGCGCTGTGGCTCAGGAGGCTGCCTGTGTTACCCCTGTGGTGATTAGCACGTCTGTGGTCACAAACCCAGGGTATGCTTCCTTGCATGAAACTTCTCATTTGCATCCAATCCCAGTGACCCCCCCCAAATGCCCTTTGCAAAATCCACAAATGCCGCCTAGTGGATATTAATTTTCAAGCAAAGAGATACTTCTGGAGCTTCCTCCCTAGCAAAAAATAAAACAACCAAGTATTTTGCTGTGAAGCAAAATGTTCCATACTGACTAGCGAAACAAGCCAGGAGCATAGCTGGCAACATGCACTTTCCCCTGGGTAAGTCCCTTCTCTGACGAGAAGGAAAGGAAGCTGTGTCCAGGAATGCACAGGCTCTTTGCTTGAACAAAACACATTTGCTGTGCTAGCAGCTGGGAAACGACAACAACAACTTCAGCCTTGGCAGAAGTCGGGCCGATACCTTGAAGACAGCCAAATGAATGTGAGGTGAGGGGAAAGATCTGTTTCTCCTGTTTGCTTTAGACTCAGGCTCGGGGCTGTTTTCCAGCCAAAAATCATTCCTTAAATATACTTTCACTGTAGATTTTCTGTGATGGTCATTATATCATTTAAGTAACAGTCATCCCATCTCCTGTCTGTTCAACAGGCAGCTGCAGTGGCTTTTAAACTTCTGAGGGCATTAGCAAATTAATTGAATGTTACAGAGGAGTTGCAGACCATTTTTGGCAGCAGCAGTCTACTGGCTTGTGGAACACCTGGAAAAGTGAAATGTGTGAAAGAGGTCATTTGTACACTGCAGAGAAGAATCCATGGCAAACCCTGATTTTACACCTCTGCTATCCCTGATGCTGTCACTTGCAAACACCAGACGCAAAGATGGCTACCATGAACCTCTTCACATCTAATTGAAATGCATAGATAGGAGCGTCTTTAAGGAGATGTCCAAAGACAAGCTTGTAGTTTCATAGATCTGTCATTAAATCGCAGCATGTGAGGCCTTCAGAGATCTTCAAGGAAAGTAAAGTGATAACATCAGTGATAAAATTACTCCTCTATCTCCAGACCTGTCAGAAAAAGAAATTGGAGGCACTCCTATGGAAAAGTGCCACAAGACATGCCTGGGTGTCCACAGAAGACAGCGTGAGAAGCCCACCCCCTTGCCCTAAGGCAGAGCCAGCGATATTTAAATCGTTTTTGAAGGATGTTTGTCCAGCCCATTCTTTAAAATCTTCTAAGGGCAGATTCGTTTCACCCAGTGCCGTGTTACCCCACCAGTAACTCCTGCTGGTTGCCCAGGACTGGGAGGGGGAAGAGGAGCTGTGTCCCTCTCTGCACAGGGGTCGACAGGACAGGCAGGAGAATCTCTGAAGCATACCCAAAACAGAGTAAACCCAAAACAGCCAAAAAAACAACTTGCATACCTTTTTCACCACGTTTGTCCTCAAGTCACTATGCCTCTCCCTGCTTCTAGGCTTGGCAAGGTAAAGCCGTGAAAATGCCCAAGGCGTACTCAGCGCAGGTCCATGAGCTTTCTGCCTGAATCCTGATGTGTCTGAGAGATGCACCAAATACTCCTCTACAAGTAGCTTGAATACCTCAACATGAACCAGAAATGGCATGTTCTCAAGGTTTCAGACTATGCTAAGCCACTTTGGCCTTCCTCCCCTTTGACTTTTTCCTCTGGAGCAATTATCGTCACCAAAGTCAATTGGTCCTCACTGTGTCAGTTGATTAAGAGGTGCAGATTCTGTGCTCTGTTCTCAGTCCAAAGCACTCCCAGTGGCTAACTGTGCATAAGATTCTACCCTTACTGGTGAACCTCTGTCTTGGAACACTACCTAGGAGTAAGCAGATTTTTGTCATACTCTTAAGTGGCTTTTTAGCCCACGTATCACTGTGGCTTTGTTTGCAATATAGATGACCCAGTTTTTGTACAAATTCAGTGAGTAGAACAGAGTATTATACACTGTCACGCACTGACTAAAATGTAATAGCAAAAATTTTAGCTAAGGCTAACAAGGCTATGTAGGACTGTGGCTCACTGAGCAAATATATGTTATATAAACATTAAGATTTCCATACAGTAAGGTATGGTGTACAGTATATTTTTACTACGGGGTAAGCATGGGGAAAAGGAACCAACCTAAGTGCATATGACCACCAAGATCAGTCCAGTTTTCTTGTAACAGAATCCCTAACATTGTCTTAGCACAAGTTCATTTTCAGTTTGCAAGTATTCTAACTGGAGGGGGAAATGAAGAGAGAAATTTGGTGTAGCTGGAATAACTATGCTATAAAAATTAATTGATGAAGCCAGAATTTTCTGCCCAAAGCTTTAAGTGAAAATGTTCTATTTAGATTAAAATTAGAGTTGTGAGGGCTGAGAAAATCTTGTCTGGCAAAGAAGAAGAGCTTCTTTTCCAAAGACAAGCAAACACACTTATCATGGTCAGCTTCACAAACCTGGAGGGAAAACAGTACCAAAGCGGCCTGAGGTTATGCTGAGCCACGTGAGGATTCACATCTGCTCTCAGAAGCTTTCTGAGCCAGAGCTGAATTCAGGTAAAATGTGTACTGTAAATCAGAAGGTATACTTTTAAATGCTTTTCTCTAGGCCTACTGTCCTCCTGTTAGCCACCAAATCCCACCTCAGCCAACACTTTGTTTATTTTTATTCAAAGAGAGAACAAAGCAGAGTGGTGGCATGGCCAGGCAGAAACCAGGACAGTCAGAAGAAAGACTGTGACTTCTCTTAAAAAGAGGAGAAAGCCAGAAACAAGTCTTTAGTAGGTGGGTTGCTTCAAAACTTAGCAAACTGGTGTTTCTCCTCTTTGTTAATTTGGGAAGCATGTCCGAGGAGGTGCAGGGGAGGGAAGCGGAGCTAACAGGAGGCCGCGTGGGGTTCGCTGTGGACTCCCGTTGGCATGGCCGGGAGCTGGTGGCAGGACGGGAGCGCAGGGTAGGCAGGGACGGCTCTGCTGCCCGAGCGCTGGGGGTGCCACCAGGCGCCGTGCTGGGGCCCTTGCCAAAGCTGTGCCACCATCACGCAA